CTCGTTAGTTCCCCCCCATTATTAATCCGTGTAATTAAATGCTAAACCATTGCTTGCAATCAATTATTTATAGCCGCCGTGTTTATGCAAACACAAATTTATGCAAGGGGCCTGAAAACCTCGTCTGTATTTTTTGCTCTGGCACAAAAGGGAGAAGGGTCTTAACGATTGCCGCTGTTGATTTTCAAAAAGAGATAAATACACAAGCGGAGTGGCTTTAAAAGGCGTTTTGTTCTGTATATATATATTTTTAAATGTGGTTCTGGAGGCAGCCAATATCCCGGTTTTTCCATCTGTCTATCTTGTTCCAGATTTTTGAAATTCTGGTTAAATTCCTTTAGCTGTACAGCAGAAGTGCAGGAATTCCACAGAGCAGAATAGTTTCAAGCTCCTCTGAGTAGTCCACCCCTTTCCCTCATCAACAGGCAATTAGACTTCAAGAACTCATTCAGGGACACTGTGCTTCTATACCACCCCATAGTGCTCAAAGCACTCTCTGGGCCGTTTATAGTTTAATTATGCAGGCTATGTATTGACCCCATCCTGCAGCATGCCGGGCACTCGGTTTACTGGAAAGATGGAAGGCTGAGTTAATCTCAAGCCAGCTACCTGAGATTTAAACCAGGGCATGAGCAGAGTTTTGGCTGCAGTATTGCAGTTTAACCACTGTACCAAGAGGCTCCTCCTTTCTTAGTAAAAGAAAGAATAAAAAGTTTGATTACTTACAGTTTGAACAGATCAAGCAGCAAACTGATCAACATGACTGCTTTCAGCAACAGACTAGTAACTGCTAGCAGAGAGGCGGGGGCTCTCTTTGAAATCAGAGGCAGGAAGAAAGGTACCTCCCACCCAGGACCACTAAAGGCAGCAATGCCAGGTTGCAAAACCTTCAACATATCTTAGCCCTTGTTATTATCAATTCTGCCCTTTTATACACAGGTAGATGTCTCCAGCATGTGGAAGATCTACCTGGCTGTCCATGAACTAATACAGTAATTCATGGCACCATGAATCCAGACGTTGGATGGCATTCTCTGGCATCTTGGCATAATCGAGCAGGGAGCAAATGCTGTTAAAACAAGAAGTAACCAAACGACAAATGCAAATAAATAAATAAATAAAAAAAACAGGCTCAAAATCCAGAACAAAAATCTTGTCAAACTTTCGAAGCCGGCAGATTTGTATAGACAGGAGCGATCTCTTGTCTGCAGAAATGGGTTGCCGCCTGTCAAAGAGCAAAGTCAAATCAGAAAGAGGGCAGTCCAGTAAATTTGAAATTGGAAAGATCACAATCAAAGACATTATGAAATTGGAAAGGTCACAGTCGAATAAATCTGCTAACCTCAGAGGTGCCCCAAAAAAGCACTTTGTGGTTGCCGAAATAGACAAGAAGGGCTTCATCTCTGGAAATGGCCGTTAATGGTTTATTTTTATTAATTTTTAAATTTTTATTCTGTTTGAATCCTTCCCCTTTCCCCAGGACCTGGGACTTGCGCCAGCTCGCCAGGGGAATCACATGAAAACCTGCGGGTGGAAAACACACACACACACCCTTGGTTACAAGATTAAAACACACCCCATTGGTCCGAAGGGTAGGCCTGAAATAGCATGAAATGGAAAAAAAAAAAGCCCAAACCCAACAACTTTAAAAGCCCGTCAGTTAAAATTATATGTGTGTTTTTAAGAGCAGAGTGTGTTTCCTTTAAAATTGGCAGAGTTCAGCCGATCCTGGCTGGGTTTGGTCTGGATAGCCCTGTCTTGTAAAGTCTCTCTGGGTTAGCAAGAAGAATTATTCAGAGGAATCTATTTAGGGAAAAAAATTGAATTTTCAGGACGGTGTGAAACGGAGATGAATACCGGTCTCTCTCCCCCCCCCCTCCACCGCCCCAAAGGAAATATCTCATTTCTGGGTTATAGGCACAGTTGAGCAGGGATGGTTGCTATACAACGCTCCGCCCGTCCCTATGTTGTTGTTTGGATGTGCTGTCTGGGAATGATGGGTGTTGTAATCCAGGGACCCCAGGATGGTGGGAACTCTGGTCTCCGTGGGAATCACCGTTTCGTCTTGTGAATCGGCCAGCATAAACGGTGTTCCCACCAGGTTTAAGATGGGGAAGAAAAGATGTAGGGAAACCATCAAGAAATCCTTGCCGGTTCTAGAGCTCTCTTGCCTGTCTCGGCCACTTACGTTGCTTCCTCTCCTTGTGTCCTACCTCGCAGGTTTGTGGTGGCGGTGGTGGAAACCCATATACCAGGTCAAGCTTGTTAGAGAAAAAGGCAGGAGAGAAATCGAAGGACTATATAAATGAGACCCCGCAGCCGTCTCGAAGCTGAGTGGTAGCTAAGGGAGATCATGGAGCGATACAGAAAGGCGTCCCTTCCCTGTAATTCGAATACAGATCTCACATAAAGTTGAGTTCGGTGTCTGTCGCCAAGAATCATCTTGGCCGCGTCGTAGAACCAGTGCAAAGTTCTGGCCGTGAATATCTATAAAAATTACAATCATTGTTTTATTTTTCTCTGATGATGGCATGTTTTTTTTTCCACTTGTTAAAAGTTGCCCGGTGTAGTGCATTACATGAACGGGGTGGTAAACAAAACAGACAAACAAATAAATAACGGTTACAAAGTCGGTATCTGGTGAAACGCTAAGCATTAAATCAGCGCCTGCAGATCAGGAAATGTAACAAGTTTTAGCCACCATGGAAATTGGGAGATTTCCTAGAGGTGCAAGTGGGATGCAGTACCTGCCAATTGATTGATTGATTGATTGATTGATTGATTGATTGATTGATTTAGCCTGTCCTCCTTCTTAGTTTCCTGCACAAGGTTAAGACGGACAAGCCTGTTTTGCTTTGTGCCTTTTAATGTTGTGGGGCTTGTCAATCTTGGCCGCCTTCCCCCCCCCCAGCAAATAGTCAGTTTCAATGGGTTGGGTTAATACTGTATAGGAGTGTAACCCAATGTTTGAAACTGACCAAGGACAGCACCCGAAATTGATCAGCGGCAGGAAGGGAGTATGCCAAAATCCAGTGGAGCGTAGTACCCCAGGCCCCCAATTAACCCTGGACTTGTCACATGTTGCGCTGGAATTAATAAAGACAGACTCGGTCCCTTTTAAAGAGAAAGGCGGGGTAAAGATATTTTAAACAGATAGATAATAAGTAAATATCTCGATGCTGATAAGGGATCATAAGGTATTGATTTATGTGTGAAATCTAAAAGAATGATGTGCAAGGTTTTGCCAGAAAGAAGGAAACATTTTGATGGCCAAGAAGTTCCAGGCCAGGGAAGGAAAAAAAAGAGGCAGAAATATCCCATAGAAAGCTGTGAGACCAACAAGCATCTAGATTTAAGCCCAACTGGAGAATATTGGTGTTAAATTCTTGTTGTTTATGATCTTCTCCAAGCTTCCCCCCCCCCAGTGTTAACACATGTTCTGTTATTATATTTATTATCTGCATTCAATTTTTGAGGGTATTAAAATGTTGCAGCCCAAACATAACAGTCGAATAATTCCTATAGCAGTTGAAAACCGAAAAAAGCATCTAAACGTAAGCTGGACTGGAGAATAATGGTGTTTAATTCTTGTATTTATGTTCTTCTCTAAGCTTTTCCCCCCCAGTGTTAACACATGTTCTGTTATTATATTTATGATCTGCATTCAATTTTTGAGGGTGTTAAAACATTGCAGCCCAAACATAATAGTCGAATAATTCCTATAGCAGTTGAAAACCGAAACAATATTTTGTGAGTGTATTTGTTGCAATTAATTGCAGAGTGCAAAGGTAATGAATAAAAATGGAAGTAGCGTTCTTGGGAATAACTGCTGTTGTTGGGAAAAAAATGCAGATAATTAAACAAATCGTAATTCCATAATTTAGTGTTAGGAAAGCTCTGTGTGCTTCCTAAACCCTCTTCTCCATCCCTCCACCCCATGGCGATATGTGAAAGAGCTCTCTTGCTCTTTCTGATTCTAGTCTCTTACTCACAGCCCTACTCTTTCTTAGTTCCATCTCTTTGGGTTGAACCAATATTTCATCGGGGTTATGCATGCCTAGATGCTGGTTTTGTCGTGTTCTTTTGTTTCAGTAAATGTGACTAAGATATTTTTTGGGAAGTGTTTGGAGAGGGTGGAATCTTCTACACTGTTCCCTTCCGACGGTGGCCAACCTGGGGGCTTCTGGGAAAGTGGCGCTCTTGAATGGGAGTGTCACGGTTTAGGATTTCGGCGCTTAACGAGCGCAGAATAGCAAGCCACCTCTCCTCTGGTTGGTAGCCCATCCTGGTGAATAAAGTCATTCATTTTCACCTCCATAACCTCATCTAATCATCCTCTAAAGTAGCTGTCCCCAAACTTGGGGCCTCCAGATGTTCTTGGACTTCAACTCCCAGAAATCCTGGCTAGCAGAGGGGGTGGTGAAGGCTTCTGGGAGTTGTAGTCCAAGAACATCTGGAGGCCCAATGTTGGGGACCACTGCTCAACACCTTCTAGCAAAGGGGTACCGGGTGCTATTTCATGTTTTCTGTTGCTGAGTTTTCTTAGGTGAAAAACACAACCCCTGCTTTTGTTTGGGAGGCAAATATTTCTCTGCTTTCTCAGCTCCGCGTCCATGATTTCCACGAAATTGTTCTTAGCGTCGCCTCTCTTTTCCTCTTGTTCTTTCTGATCCCACCTCCGCCAAGCCCCACTGATTTAAGCCTTTTCTGGTAGGGAAACGACACCCTTTAATCACTCTGTGTTGCTTTTTAAAAAAATATACTTTCTGCAAAGGAAAGGACTGAAGCCAACGGCGTGTTTGGGTTTAAATCTCTGGCTGTTTGTAATTAAGCCTCCAGATGAGGTTTTTGCAATGGGGAGAACCTTCACGAAAGCAATAGCGTCCGGAGGATCGGGAGCAGGCATGAAGGGGAAACCTGGAGGGCCGGATGGGACCCCTAGATAGGAGGCTTCTTTGCAACGCAGGGACGTAAATATCTCAATTTTGTTCTTTCCACAGCTAGCTTCCTGGATCCGGTCAGCCCGGCTGTTGTAGATTTTGAGACCCAGGGCCTGCCTGACCGCCAAGGACGGGACTGGGGGTCTGGCCCCCAGCTGCTGAAGGCTTTCCACGCCTCCAGGATGCACCACCGCTTTTGGGACTGAGTCGATCAAACGGGGAGGCGTTTCTCCGTCCTGGTGACGGTCTGGTCACTTGCCACCGAATTGGTAGGTATCCCCAGGTAGGGGCTGGAAGGGGCCAGAGGGATTTGTATCCCTCCAGGGGAAAGATCTTACGGTCCACGCTGACGCTTCTGTTTGTGAATCGCTTTTTAAAAATCTCCCCCTCGGACTGAAAAAAGTCCTGCAATCGTCGGAGGTCCTCAAAACACTTGTTTTTGCAAAAGAAAAACTGGTTGCAATGATATAGGAGTTTTGCATCTATTGCAGGGCGCGAATGAAAGAAAGGAAAAAAAAGCTTCTAACTGTGGGAAAGTTCATGTGCCCGCGAATGAGAGAAAGGAAAAAAAAGAGAGCTTCTAACTGTGGGAAAGTTCATGTGCCGCAGTAAACCATGGTTTGGGTTAACCCTGGTTTGTTGCTCAAACCATGAATGACAGGGGAGGGTGAATCATGACTTGTCTTCTCCATTTTTCCTTTGTTTCTGGTTTGTTTCTGCCTTGCTCCTATGTTAGGATGGGGAGCTGGAGAAGCAGAGAAAGGAAAAAAAAGAGAGCTTCTAACTGTGGGAAAGTTCATGTGCCGCAGTAAACCATGGTTTGGGTTAACCCTGGTTTGTTGCTCAAACCATGAATGACAGGGGAGGGTGAATCATGACTTGTCTTCTCCATTTTTCCTTTGTTTCTGGTTTGTTTCTGCCTTGCTCCTATGTTAGGATGGGGAGCTGGAGAAGCAATTCAGGGCCGCAAGCCATGGTTGTAGAGCTGGATGTCGCAACAAACCATGGTTTAAAGAAACCAGCTACAAAAGCAGGGTTTTCAGATTGTGGCTTGTGGCGGGCTTGTGCAGCACAACAAACTTGCTCGCTGATTAGAACAAGATGGGTGCTCATCACCACAGATGTTGACAAACCGCATGATGGCTTGTTGTGATGTGAGTTTAAGGTATGTATGGTGAGGGAGGAGGTGTCTCATTTTCATTTTGGAGGCGCTTCCAAACCTGTGACGTCCCTCTCCATGTGTCGTGGCCTGTGTGGGTTGCCTTTGGGCGCCTGTGGGTCTCTCTTCCGCCTGGTGAGTTCATGAGTTCAGGGTGGAAGGTGGCCGTTTGTTTGTGGGTTGCAACTTGAACTTCTTATCTGTCTGAGCGGCTCTTAGGGCCGATTAGCCTTGCTTTGAGAGGCCGCAGGGCTAAGGCGGAAACCATTTTACGAATCAGGCATTGCAGCCCATCTGGTCTGTACTTCTGCCTACGGAGAAATGGCTAGAGGCGATAAAGAGGCACCCTTGATCGATGCGTGGATGGATACAGGCACCCTGGAAATGTCTGTGCTCTGGCGGTTTATTTACAGCTTTGGTAATAAATGCCAGTGGGGAAAAATGAAGGGTTTTTTTTTTAACTCTTGTTATTCCATTGACTAAAACCTAGCACACCTGTTGGACCAAGAGGAGGGGATGAGTTTAGAGCCTCCATTGCAGGATTTTCTGTGCGTCATTCCACATTCGAGGGCTTGTTTACTCAGGTGGAATCTCCCCAGGCATCTGGGGTGGCCGTGGGTTTTCCCTGAGCTCTGTGGAAGATGCGGTTAGGGGCCGTTCCTGTGGCGACCTTAGGAATAAGAGATCTCTATACAGCCCTGTCTGGTTCTTGTGGTTTCTTTAAGGGAGTCGGTCCATCTCGTACTTGGTGTTCCTCTTTTCCTGCTGCTTTCCACCGGCTTTGCCAGGCCTTCTGGGTTTTGAAAAAGCAAGTTTGCCGTTTTCGTTGCTGTAGAGGAAGTGTTTGGAAAGCTCACGCGAGGGTTGTTGTGAACACACTTCTGTGTTGTTTGTGTATAAAATGGGTGGGGGCGAGTGCCCTTCTGCTGTGAGCCGGGGGAGGCATTTCCAAAGCCCCCAGTTGTCAGTTCAGTAAGATTAAATGAGGGAACGCATTCCAAACGGGTTCATGCAGAGACCCAGTGGCCACCCTCCTCCTCTGGGGTAAATGCCGTGGGAACACGGAAGCAACGTCCTTCTTTAGCTTCTCGTCTTGTTTCCAACTTGGGAGGGGGGGGAAATAAAAAGGGATTGCATCCCCTTTTCTGGCTGGGGCGAATCCTGTATCCCTGAGGGAACGTTCCCCGGATGCGACTCTTAGCTTCTCCGCACGGACTCCAGTTGGCTGAACCTGTTGCCTTGTAGGTCCCGATCCGGCGCTCTACGCCAGCCGCAGAGGCCCTTCCCGGGAGCTTTGCAGCCTCTTGAATGGAGGATGTTCCTCCCCAGCGGCCAAGAGCTTGTAAAATGACTTCTCATCATCCTCTCCCCGCTCCTGTGCACAGCTGGGCGCTGGG